ACATACACATACACATACACATACACATACACATACACATACACATACACATACACATATACATATACATATACATACATACATATAAAAATATTAAGATATACGAAAAAACAAGAGGGAGGTTTAGAAACTGAAGGGTGGTAGTAAAAGGTATGAAAACATTATGAAATAATGAAAATGAAATGTAATAACTACGAGTAATAATATTATGCCTATTTGTATTGAAATGTATGATACCCAGGTATCACACCATTCACGCATTGATATGTATAAATAGTATAAAATAAAAAACTTGATGGGGGGAAAAAAAGAAATAGGATGTAACAAAACCCTCATGCTTGTGTTAACAAGAATGAATGTTGAAAAATAAATGCCTGATAATGGAAGAAATATAGAGTAACTACGAATTATTGATGGTTTTATTTTACTTCACTGAGCAAAGCAACAATCAGTCTTCCCAATGAAGTGAGTTTGTACATATTCCCCACATTCCATGAGAAAAGCGTCCTACCAGACAATAATCAACAAGATATCCAGATTACAACTAGCCCAACATTCCCTCTGTTGGTAACTCTGAACTGTGCAGTAAAATCCAAGAACTTTTAAATTAACAAATTATAAATAACTGGCCTAACTAATCTGATTACATAGCTTTTATTTGGAGTTGAATATGTGTAGTTGTCACATTCTCTTAGTATTATCGGAACACTGTAACCATTGTTACACTGAAGATGGCATTTAATTTCATTGTACGAGGTGCAATGACAATAAAGTAAACTAAACTAAACACTGGTTGCGCAGCATCTGAATTTTGATCACATGACCTTGGGGATGCTGTGATGGCGGTAAGTGCAAGGACCAATTGTAAGTCACTTTTTCCAATGCTGTTGTTAACTTTGAACAGTCACTAAATGAATGGCTGCAAGTTGAGGATGACCTGTCCATCTTGCCTAACCAATGTTCCTAGTAGTGTCCTAGTTCTCCATTATTGCCAAGTGGTCTAAGGAAATCTTGTAACTTGCTGGGCTTTTTTTTTTTTTTTTTTTTGCAAAGTAGCAAGGCTCTATACGTTCCCAGATCAAATTTCCATTCTTTTCCTGTACATTGCAGCCACAGGCATGAAAGGAAGATCTGCTTCTTCCATCTCTGTAAATAAGTACAATTTGTTGCCTGTAAATACATGCAACAAATTGTACTAGTTTTCTTTAAGAGAGTCCTTTGCTATATAGAATAACAAATCAGTTGAGGTCATAAAGCATAGCTGTGTATTATGTCTGTTAAGGGGATGGCAGCCTGATAGAGAATGTAAAACTCCAGGATCTTCCCTGGAACCCATGATGGCTTCCCAGTATTGCGACTATCTGGCTAATAGTTAACTCCCTGTGTGAGCATCTCATGACCTGAACTTCTTCGGGATGAAATGAAATAAAAGAAAATCATCTACATAAAAGAAACAAGTGAAGTGTGTTGGTCTAGAGCTGGAGCTCTTGCCTCACAATTAGGAGGCTGTGATCCTAGATAGAGGCAGATATTTCTCTCTCTAGGCATGTTGAGATTATATCTGCTGAATATAACCCCACATTGGCGGCAGGAAGGGCATCCAGCCATTAAACACTCAGCTCAACTCAGTTGCCCAGACTCCACCCTGCAAGGGATTATGGGATCATTAAATGACAATGATAATGATGGAAAGGAGACAAGTATGTCCTCCTCACTCACCTTCTCTTCCCGAGTGGTTCCTACACCTTCTCCAAGATTAGTGTCTCGAGGTTGTAGCTCCAAAACAGTACGGAAAAGCTTCTCTGATGTTTGAGTTAAGAAGCCAATTTCTGCATTGGGGTGAAGGCCATATAGATATGGAGATTCAGGAGGTAGGGCATCATCTATATACTAGGCAGGAAAATGATATGCACACTCAGCAAATGACAAGTACCACATATTCATTCATTCATTCATTCATTCATTCATTCATTCATTCATCATTCATTCATTCATTCATCATATTTATATATCTGCCAATCTCACAGTTAAGTGACTCTGAGTGGGGCATGTAATGCCATAAGTCATCTGCAGTTTTATTGAACCTCTAAGTTAAACTAAATCATCATGATGCTGCATTTGTAAGCAGATGAGCCCTGTCCAAATTAAAATTAATTATAATTAATTATAATTAATAATTAGACATTTTCAACCTAATACATTTTCCAGTATATTTTGGTATGCATCAGTCTCAGTCCTAATTAGAATACAGTTTTGATAGCTGAATGTGTAAATTTTTCAAAAATATTCTAAAATAATAATAGTGGGGATAAAGACTCCTGCTAGGAAATTCCTAAACATGGCTACATATAGTATAGTACAGTTACAAAGACAGAGAAGTTAGCATCTTTCAGACATTTTGACCCAAATCCCCTTAGTTCCAGCCAGCAGGGTCAATAGCAAAGATTGATGAGAGCTGTGCCCAAAACATCTAGAGAAACTTGATAGCCTGGATTGCAATTTGAAACTATTTTTGAGTTAATAGATAAAAATTTTCAATACGCCTCCTAAGGCTAGAGAAATACCACCACAAATGCTTTTTTTCCCTATCCTTGTACGAACTGGACAAGGACATGGCCAACTGTCATTTTACAATCAGATAGCATTATGGAGACAAAAACAGCAGATCTTTGCCTAAAGCTCTGAATCCCTAAATTGCTTCCTTATATGGCTATGAACTCCAACACAGATCAGAGCAGGTTGAGTAAATGCAAGACTACCTGATGATAACCATTGTAGTCCATGTTTCCTGGGAGGGGAAATCCAGAAGCCAATAAAAACTCTCCTTCCAGCATTTCAGGCTTGATAAATTCTTCTAAGTAGGATTTACAGAGACGCCTATCCCAATCATCTGTAATGTGACCCCCATACATGATCTCTCCAAACAGGTACCGGAGGTCATCATAGGGAACCTAAATGCCAAGAAGGGAAGTTAGTTGGGACAGTTCCTTACAGCGTAGCAGCAGGCAATTCATTCTACACAGTCTTTGGAAATCTTAAAGCGGGAGTTTGTTTTTGGAGGAAACTGGGTGTAATATAACAGTTATACAATTCCAGGCAACACCAGAGAGATTTCATTTAGAGATGCCCCAGACTGTGGAACAGACTTTGTGTGTGTGTATAAATGTGTGTGTGTGTGTGTGTAGAACTGAAAAGTAGTAGGAGTGTTGCTGAAAACAAGTCTTTCCTCATTCCTTAGACTGAAACACATTTATCTAGGCACTCAATCAAATATTTTTCAGAGAAATGTCCTAGTACAAGCCTACCAGGCTAGTTAGAAATATCCACAGAAATAGGATGAAAAGGAAAAGCATAAAGAGCCAAGGTGGCGCAGTGGTTAAATGCAGCACTGCAGGCTACTTCAGCTGACTGCTAGTTCGGCAGTTCAGCGGTTCAAATCTCACCGGCTCAAGGTTGACTCAGCCTTCCATCCTTCCGAGGTGGGTAAAATGAGGACCCAGACTGTGGGGGCGATATGCTGACTCTGTAAACCGCTTAGAGAGGGCTGAAAGCCCTATGAAGCGGTATATAAGTCTAACTGCTATTGCTATTGCTATTTTCTGAAGTCACAAAAAAAGAAGGAGGGAAAGATGGCACATTGATAGAGAATGCTGCCCCAACCCCTCAAAAAAAAAAACCCCTCTAGTGATCATCTATTAGAAATTGCTGCACATGATTCTAGTATATGATTCAGTTCACCTTAGAAGTGGCCTCCAAGTAATTGTATAGAACATTGACAGAAATGGTGAGGTCCCCAATGTTAAATGGGTATGAACGATTCCAGCCCTGAGGGCCAAATTTGCGCCTTTCTGCTACCACAGCATGGAAATAGCAGAGGGCAAAAAGGATGCTCTTGAACTCATTCTCACGGGTACACATCTCCAGCGTGTCCTGCAGGAAAAGAAAAGTTGGTTTCCATAATAAGTACCAACTAAGTCAGGTATGTTCAACTCGCAGCTCTGGATAGTTAGTAATAAGCCCCCACAAGATCGTAATAAAAATATTTAAAAATAGAGGAAATTTGTTATTTATATACATTAACTATATTATATATTTCATATGATGTCAATGACAATTCCACTTCAGTCAATGCAGACCAGCCAAGAGGTTGGACAACCATGATCTAAGTCAGTGGTTCCCAAACTTGGCAACTTTAAGACTTGTGGACTTCAACTCCCAGAATTCTCCAGCCAGCAGAGCTGCCAAGTTTGGGAACCACTGATCTAAGTCTTTAGGTAGGAGCCAAATGAAATGAAGAAGAAGAATGAACACACTGATCCACATAAAGAATTGGATAACGGTATCTGGGAGTGTGAAAATCTCCACTCATCTTCATTACTTGCATGGATCTGAGAAGTTGTGAGAATGCCAACGTTGACTTCCAGACTTACTCAATTTATTTTCCATTGATAATCCATTTTGGTAGCTTTCATGCTAACATTTTTTCATTACTTATTAATAAATAAATTACTTAAAGATTTTTCTCTGAACAAATAAAATGTCACTTTATGGTTGTTGCAATGTTTTTATCTGGTTTTTAAAAAGTCATCTAAAAGCATGCTGTCTGAATATTTGTAGCTGATTAAATGCTCTCTCATACAGTCTGATCTTTTATGTTGCATAGGAATCTCTATTAGGTGATGGCTCTTCTTATAGTCTGTTTATAGTGTGCTTTGGAGACTAGATGGATAATTGCAGGAGTGATGTGACTGACAAATGTGCAACAAAAAGGCTTGTTCTCAATTGTTTAGAGAACTTTTTGCTCTAAGTAAAGTCATGGGAAAAGAATCTCCATGGACTGGAGTTGGGATCAGTGAACATTATCAATTGATCAAATGTATGCCCACCTGTCTGCCATAACGATGTTCAAGAGCACTCTTGATTGTTTGTGACAGATTAACTGAAAATCAAAGAGCTGTTGGATGGTTAGCCAACACTCAATATTGTTTCCCATGTAAGTTGGAAATAGTGCTTAGAAGCCTTGGGAATAATTCTTTCCCACAAATGTGCTTAGCCTCTTTGATGAAAAGTGAGACAAAGGCCTGAGTCATAATATTAGGACAAATATACCCTGTGCTTATTTATCCTCACACATTTCTCTAGTTGCAAATTTGAAAGAACAACAGAGTGCTTATGCAATGCAAAACCTACCATTTCTGTTTAAAAGGAGTGTGGCAATAAACTCTTTCTAGACCTGTTTGTTTGTTTGTTTAATTATTTATTTATTTAAAACACTCAATATAGCCACTAATCATATAACCAGCTCTGGGCTGCTCCAATCATGTTTCAGCATCTCTATGTGAATGCATCTTGTACTGATTGGACTAGAAGCTCAAAGCAGTTAAAAGAAGTACAGAGATACTGCCCTAGCAGTATTGTAGGCTATGAAATGTTTTGTAAAAGAAATCAGCCATTTTGAGATACTACCTGATTTGCAGAAGCAAGAAAATAAATACTCCATCTCACCTCTCTTTCTGGAATATAGAATGTGTTTGTTTCTTTGTTTGTCTGTCTGTCTGATTGATTGATTAATATCTCACTTTTATTTTTTAGAAATCTCAAGGTGGTAAACCTACCCAATACTCCTTCCTCCTCCTATTTTATGATAAATTATAAATGATAGAAGATGGGAACAAAAGAAGCATGACAGCATTAATTCCCATCAGCCATGCCAAGTCAGACATCTAGTGCTTTTCCCAAAGAGTACTGAGTAATGACAAGAGCTGTTAGAAAGCTAAAAAGCCCTTCCCCCTCCCTCACCCAAATGCCAAGGCTTCAAACATCCTACATTCTAGACTAGGCTGGCTGAGAGCTTTGAGTACAGAAAATGCATTCCCTTCTTCAAAGCAAGACAAAACAACATACAAGAGGAAACACTTGGCTAGTTTAGACAAACAATGTTGGAAGGGACTTTGAGATTACATGCACAATTCAATTCTTGAGATGAGGTTCCAATTATGAGAGCTGCCTCATTCCAAAGAGCTAATATCTTGACTTACATTATAATAGGCTTGAATGGAGTTATCTAAATCCAGTTGCATAGCATTTCCTGGCCTGGCTGTGAAACAGCACACCAAGAATCTCCCTGAGGTGGGAGCAGGGGTAGAGGGATACCTGGTTGAAGTTGTCCAGAGCCTTGTGCAGGTTGGCATGCATCCCAGTTGGAGGTTCATTTGTGATTTTGATGGAATTCTCAAGGATACCCTGTGGTATCAGATGGCTTTCAGGAGAAGCTGCAGGTTCTGCACTGATAAAGATCCGGAAATCAGGGTGACTACCTTCACTGTGCTGTTCTAGTTTCTTCTCCAGAGAACTCAACCACTTGGCCACCAGGTGAATGTTCTAGGAGAGAAAGGCAAGGTTATTAAATCCTTCTCTTAAAGCAGCTGCTGCATCAATATCTTCCGGAAGATAAGAAGCACTGTGATGTACACACACACACACACACACACACACACACACAAACACACACACCCAAAAAAACACCTTGCCTAATAGCTCTGAGCACTATAATTCACTTCCCCAGGCATTAGCTGCACGTATACAATGTGGATTTTCTACACTTTGAAATGTAAATGATCAAGACAAATAACTAGCAATTAAGGAAACAGTTCTGAGTGTTTGTTTTCTTAGGGGTGATGATGGTATTCTGTTTGTTAGAATAATGTACTGTTACTGAAATAACATTATTTCCTCCAGACAAAACAAATTTCCAGTAAACAGCTGAAATAAAATTGCTTGATTATTTTCAATGAAATAATCCATCCTTGAAATCTAAGCTAGTTACCAGAAAATCAGATTTCACATCCTGCTCAGCTGAGGTCTTCAAATATTTGCAATGCTGGTACTTTTGTTCAGAATTACTCATTTCAGTTTTCCACCATTCCAGCCAGAGGTGGGTTGCCAATTATTTTACTAACAGTTTGGGCATGCTCCCACGTACACGTATGTGCAGAAGCGTCCAGGCGGGTGGACAGAGCCTCCTGCAGCCAATACTACCAGTTCACCCAATCTGGGCTGAACCAGCGACAACCCACCTCTGATTCCAGCATAGATTAGGCTGAGAAAGACTGACTGGCCCAAAAGCACCCAGTGAGTTTTATATGGCAAGCAGTTGGAGTCTTGCCACCAACTGTGATACTCATCCAGGGGTGGGTTCCTGCCAGTTCTAACCTCCTCTATAGAAGAAGTTCCACAAATCTACAGTGTCGTTTACAACCGGTTCCAGCTCCCTCCCCCTGCCCGTCCGCACATCATCAAGATGAAGAGCGAGAGGAGGAATTCTGGGAGTTGAAGTCCACAAGTCATAAAGCTGTCAAGTTTGAACACCCCTGGGTTTTTTTTTCTAAAGGGTGTTAGGGGTGCAAGGTCTTGTAACTTGACAGCTTTAAGACTTGCATGCTTCAAATGGCTCAGTTTCTGAGCCAACATTTTGGTTGCTAAGGAAGAGCATTGTGAGTTTCACCACATTTTACAAGTTGGCCATGCCCACCAAGTCACATGGCCGGCAAGCTACTCCCACCCAGTCACATGGCTGGCAAGCCACTCCCACCCAGTCACATGGCTGGCAAGCCACTCCCACAAAGCAGGCCACACCTACAGAAGAGGTTCTAAAAAAATTTGAAACCCACCACTGTACCCATCCTACAGCGTATTGCCTGATAGGATGGAAGGATGGGAACTTTTGATGTTATGTGAGAAAAATTTAAACATGACACCAGTATGAAAAAAATGTTTTTTTTCTATAAAAGAAAAAAAATGTTTTCCTGGTTCTTTGAATGGGTAACTCCATTATGGAAGGCAAAAGCAAAGATATATTTCTTTGGCTAAAATAAATAAGAAATATATCTAAATTAAGAAACCATTTATCAAACATTTAAACTTTGATCTAGGAGTGAAATGAAAGGAAGGCTTAAATTATTCTATCAAAATCGATAAATCCAGAGCAGACATCTATTCCAAAGCCAGAAATACGGATGCAGAGATCCAAGGCGTTGGGATTTACAAAAGCAGGCAGTTTCTAAACGTGTCTTGCTTGTTTCCAGCACACAGAAAAATCTAATTTCCGACATAGCCCAGATTTCAATAAATAAGCAATGCTCATAACAATAGCGGGATGCTAGAGAAATATGAAACTGAACACATCTTCAGCAAGGCATATTATTTATCACAATTCACAGATCAGTGCGATAGCTTTAAGCTAGTAGAGAGCCATCAATTTAGATAATCAGGGTCTTTGTGTGAGGAAGAACAGCTGAAAGGTGTAGGGAATTTCTTATCTTAGAAATGGGAAGGACTTTAAAAACCGTTCACTTCCAAAATAAAAAAGGCTATTGTTTGGTAGCTTTCAGGTACAAATTAAAGCTTAGCTTCTGGGGATACATCTGAAAGACTCAAGAATACAACACAGCACAATCCTATTGCTAATAGAAGCTAATGTTCCTTTAAAAAAAAAAATGTTATGGCCTTTTGGGAATGAGGCTATTTCAAAAGCCAACTGCATGCCAATCCCCAGTAAGACCAAGTTCAGCGAGTCAAAGTGAAGCCATTCTAGGACAAGGAGAAAAAACTATATTGGAGTTTTCCCATTCGCTCGTAGCAGAGAACAAGTCCATTCTTTTATAGAAATGAAATGTAACTAGCAGAACTAAATTTATTGTGCTTTCTTCCAGTGGGCCTGGTATCCTCATTTTTAGCCATTGATCAAACTTCATCAGGTCTTTTTATTGGTAATATTGGTAGTATTCACACAATGGAAAAAAATGTTGTTCTGAGATTAGAACAAAGCACTCGATCCCAGCAAAACAGCATCCCTATCCAGTCTAGTATTGACTGTATGCTGCAATGCTGGAAGACACAGACTCATTTTCTAATTTGAAAGGCAAAGTGATGGGGACGGTTTACATTTCTGTTGTCTTATCACCACAGAAAAGACCTGAACTAGGGGACATATCCAGACATAGTCAAATTAAGTCTATCTTCCAGTGATGTTTCTGCCACCTCAGCTCCTGTTGTCATCAGAGAACCAAGGGCAAGCTGGGATTGGCCAAAAAAAGAGAGGCCATTCAGAAGTGACTTTGTCAAGGAGCCAAGATGCTGTCTCATGTCAGCAGTGAATGAGGTCCTCAAGATTATCAGGAAACTCTCTAAGTGCATGCTGGAAACCAAGTGAATCCATTGAGGCATCTGAGGCAGATTCTCTGAATTGACCTGGCTCTCTGGAGGAAAGGGCAACAGTTGTATGTGGGTCAGAAAGTGTTCTGCCACAATAAAGGACAGATGGTTAATATCTTCTACATCTGGATCACCAAACTACTACTCAGAGGCAAAGGCCAGGACTACATGTCCCTCAAGGCCATTCCTTCCATCCTCTGCACATGGATACATGCCCAATCTGCCCATTCAGCACCACCAAATTGTGGATGGATGTGGCCTTCCTAAAAACAGACCTGGCATTAACAATCAGAAACTGAAGGCCAGGTGGTCCAGCAAACCAGTCCCCAGATCTCCTGGTAGAGGTAATCAAAGAAGAAACTACCAGTAAACCGGGTACCTTTCTTCCTCTGAAATCAATTGGTCATTTAATATTATGCATGTGTATGTGGGTTAGACTGTATGTGCTTGTGAATCAAATGACAAGAAAAAGAGTGAAATATATTCTCCAACCAATAAACATAAGGAGGGACCAATACCTCATTTTGAAAGGAAGTCCTGAAGAACAACACAAGGTAGAGTTTGGTGAGAAATAAGATTTCTACTGGGAAAAACAGAGCATATTCAGTTATTGTAAATAAACCAAATTCTTAGTGGTTTAACTGAAGTTCTGGAACATTTCAGGAAGAACAAACCACAGGTTAAAGAAGAATGTAGCAAAATTAGAAACATGAACTTAACCTAGAACCCTAAATGCCTCAAAGGATATCATAGCAGAATTGAATCAAATACAGCATTAAGTTGATCAGTATAGTAAAACTGACTTGGAAAAGGATTAGGATATGAACCCAGAGGACTACCAAGTGATGCTCCACAAATCCACTGCCTGGATACATAGACATTTCATATGCTTGAATTGAAAGCCAGCACCCAAGACTGCGTGCATTGGATCAATTAATGATAAGTGGAACTGGAAGAACAGAATGTCTTTATGAGCAGCAACTGTGCACTCTGACAGTCAGCAAAATCTTTCTCGTTTCAATTAATAGTTCAGAACAGCTCCTAGAGTTCCAAATTGCAAGAATAAGACAAGAAATGAGAGTGTGGGCACAAGCTGAAGAGTGCAAACAATCCTCAGATTTCAAAAGGGAAAAAAACCTGACAGAACACAACAGGCACTTGTATACAGCATGATTAAGACAGCATAATTTAGGAACTTAGGCTTTTTACTGTGTCTCCCAGGCAATCTCAGGAACGCAGCTTTCATCATAATGAACTAGGCATGGTGGCTGTTTTTCTTCTGTTGCATTACATTTCTGGAAGATTATTTGGTTCAGCTGCCTGGGTGACATGTGACTGATTAAAATTGTCCAGATGCCAAGTTTTGTGTATCCCAAGACAGTTCTTGGAGCTTATTGGTGTTCAGAAAACAACAGGCACACACCCACACACCACTAGGTTATTTCTCACCAATCTGCTAAAGCCACTTTATTGTTGCATTTCAAAATGGTGCAAAACCCACCCGTTCTTGCTGCGGAACTTGGTGGAGTTTCTCTTGTTTATAACGAACTTCCATTTTTCTGGATTATTTGCAGAAAACACAGTAAGAAAGAGAGTCAAAGGATGAATGACTCAGAAGTCAAAGGACTTACAATTGTGATTGAGCCCACAATTACAGTTATAACTCATGCCACTCAGTGTCATGAGTCATCACGTGGCCCCCATCTGATTTTACAGTTATTTTTGCAGTGGTTATTAAGCAAACGTAAAATCATTTTTTCACTATAGGATATATTTTTTTGCAAGAAACCAGAATTAAGCAGAAGGTTCTGGCAAAATGGCATAAATTGCAGCCACCTGACCATGAACATTGCAAACAGCTTTAAATGCAGGCCAGTTGCCAAGTGCTCACAATGCAATTATGTGAGCACAGAACAGGGACAGCTGTTGGAACTTTGATTCCAGGTCTTAAATAGCTTCTGGGGGATCCGTTGTAAGTTCAATGGTCACTAAGTGACTGGTTGTGTGTCATGGACTACCTGTATCTATCGATACATTTTACAGATAGTCTTTGACTTATGACTAGTTGCTTAATACCCATTCAAAGTTATGATGAACCGCTCTAGAGGTAGGTATGATCTGGTTCTGAAGTTCCAATAGTCAGGATTCCCCTGCAAACATGTCATTGC